ACCCTCGCAAAACACCGGAGATAATGATTCGGCAACAAAAAACGTTTAGCTAACCCGTTCCCAGGAAACTTGGGCGTGACGGGTCGCGTCCATCAATCACCCGTTTGCTATTTAATTTTAAATCAATTGGAGTCGCGCGTGCCCCTCATCCATCTTGTGTTATCAATATTTATAAAACATTAGCAGTGACGGGTTAAGGAAATAGAATCGCATTCCATTAGCGCTGAGATTTGTTTTTGGGTTATTAGGAATTGAATGAGAGATGAGGATAGTCTACATTTGCAATCGTAATGTGGCTCGCTCTAAATCAGTTTGTTTTATCCACAATGAAGAAGCTCTTGGCCTGTATCTCAACTGATGGTAGGTAAGTGACGATCAGGCCGAAGGTGGAAGTGAGCTTCACCCGGAATCCTCAACCACGGAGGAACTGGCTATCTTACCTCTAACTGCCGGAACACAATAATGCTGTTAACATTGTTGTTATGGCGACAGACAGTAAGGTAGATAGAGCAATTCTTTCTTCTTACTTACATCGTTTGAAGTCAAAACAATTGTGACATGAGGCACTTAGGTGTCTGATATGGCTCCATCGGGCCAATGCTGAACGGACAATGATAAATTAATTTCTTTCATAGACTTTTCCATCATTTTGCTTTTTGGACAATAAGCTTTGCCTTGAAGCGCTGAGTCAAGACAATTATCTCTCTAACCACTGAAACGGGCGATAGTTATGTTATAAATTAATAAAATACTCGTATATACTCGTATTTGTGTCGCAAATACTTAAGTCTGATAAAGTTGGTGACAAATGGCTATAAAAAGCATCAAAGGTTATGTAAGTTGTCATAAACTTAACAAAAATAATTAAAATTGTAAGATAATACTGGCGCCCGCAAGATAGCATCAAGAATATTTTACAATTAACGCTTTATTTTAGTTTGAAATTAAGTAAATATCATTATGCTAAATACAATGTCATCTTACATATTTTTTCACAATATTGTTTGATCTTGCCAACTGTCACGATGTTATAGGAAAAACCAAGGGAAAAACTAAGGCTGGGTTGCACCATCTTACTTTGACTGTAACAAACGTCAAAAATCTGTTTAACTCCATACAAAATCCACCGGTTATCGTTATAGTTACGGTCAAAGTTAGGTGGTGCAACTCAGCCTAAGTCTACAAGAAGTTTGAAGTGCCTCACTATTCTTGCACTTACTTGGTTTCTAAGCGTTATAATTCTATAGTTTTTCTGATATTAAGCTTCCCCTGAAACTGAAAGCTCAATCTCTTTCGTCATTCGCCTTCAGTAGGCATTGCTATGCCTGCTGAAGGCTTCGTTCCATAGACCATAGAGCTAGGTAGCGTCCTTATACTCGTACTCTATATTTTATAGAGTGTTAATGAATAAACTTTTGATAGCTACTGCTTATAAAATAACTTGTGCATTATGAAAATCTGTAGCTTAGATTTAAATACTTACAATCTATTGCTTGTTTAAGAATATAAACGAGACCGTGAGCCACCAGTCTGCTTGTGACCACGGCTGCAGCATAGTAGCCAAAACTTCAAGCCGTGATTACATATGAAACACAAAAATGTCGCGTTGAGGCCCGTGTTTCACTATTTTGTTTAAAATGAACACGAAAGTTAAATCTTTACTTCCATTGGGCCAGGTTTACAGTAGGTAGGTATGACGAGTTTGTTTAAGGTAGAACCTGAAATAAAAAAAGTCGCCGCTGCAACGCTTACGTCATCAATCACCGACCCCACGGGGAGGGGGCGGCAGACCCTTATTGTCCGATAAAATGTACTTATTGTTAAGGGGAAATGATTTTTCGCAAAAGTTATCGGTTTGAACCGGTTATTAAACGTTTTCATGATGAGCCCTGAGCTGAAAAAGTAGAAGCGACTGACTGTATTTTTCAAGACAAAACTGACCATCTACGTTAAATACTATGTAGTATGAAAGGAGGTTTACATCTACTCATATTTACTGCTTTCGGCGGTGAGAGGCTGTTGCCTTTCAAAAAAGCAAAGCTTATGTAGCGTGGGACGTTCACCCACAAGGTGGACCGACGAAATCATAAAGGTAGCAGGAAGGCGCTGGACGCAGGCCGCTACCAACCGGGCAACATGGAAAGCATTGGGGGAGGCCTATGTTCAGCAGTGGACGTCCTATGGCTGAGATGATGATGATGATGAAAGCTTATGTAGGTAAAAGTTATTTGCATGTTTTCTGCTATTTAAATTGAACCTTCGATATTTTCACAATTACAAGAATAATTATTATCATACCTACATTTAATGTACTGAACCCTGAAAAAGCATATTTCAGCCGACTCCCAATCTATTTTCAGTATTTCCGATCACGAAAAATTTTTACAGCCAAATTGGTAAGCGAATAAATCCGAAAAAGTCCGCAATAAAACAAATAAGGCGTGCCATTCGCAGACAGTAAGCACAGACTGGCACATCAAGCTTTACACAGAGGAATCTTATGTACTTGTAATAGGTACTATATTGCAACAAAAAAGTATGGTTGGATGTGCTGTCGACAGTACATAACGCGCGAACGTAATGAGGAGAAACGGCGCGCGCGTGCACTGCCTTAATGGACAGAGCGAGACGGGTAGATGCGAGCTTTCATGTGCGAGAAGAGGACATGGATATGTTTTCTAAACTGAATCTAAGGACGAGTAGGTATGTTGGAAAAATGTGAGCTCAGTGAATGTATTTGTACTGGCTTCAGCATTGAAGCGATCTGCGAGCTTTCAGAGCTTTGTTTAGATTTTCTAGTGTTGTTTATGTTGGAGCTTTTATTAAGTATTATTTGTTAATGGGTAGTTCAATCAGTTTAGTTCTTACGAAAATAGTGGCTAAATATCTCCATTAGCAATAACAATTGTATTGTGTCATCCTGATTTTTATTATTTTTGATGGTTTTATTGGCGAAAATCCCGCATATTATGAAAAGTCAAGACCTCTATGAAAAATGCGTGTCAATCTCAATGTACCGTGTGTGCTTAAATGTAAAATTCAATAAGAAAGCAATACAAAATAACATATAAATAGATAGGCTACTTCTTTATTTATAAAATGTATGCTACTTCTTTATTTATAAAATGTATTCTACAAGAGGAACTCAACATTTAGCAATGTCAAGTTACTCGTAGCCTTTGAGTATTAAAACTCTAGCACAATTTTTGACGTAGGTATTTTGTTTATTATTAGACTAACTGACAGATGGTCTCGCACTACTATTGTTTACCACGAATTTTTAAGCTTTGAAAACTTAAAAATTCGAAAATTAAAAGCTCAATCTCCAAAATTACATCTTATCGCAATCTTATTCATCATTAATTTTATCAACGCGATACATCGTATCAGTTCCTTCCATTTGATCCTTCAGATAACGTATACAAAACCCCCAACTACAGCAATACGAATAAATCCCCACAAACTCATTACTGAAACCATCTCATCAATAACCGAAGCTCGACAAAAACCGCAAAAATGACAACGTTAAAACGAGCCAGTCCTGGAAAACTCTCATTAACCGTTCTCTAATTAAAAAGTAATTAAATTCGCGGGAGAAAAAGATAGCACCACATTTAACTGATACTAATAAGATCGTCAAACAATTACGCGCGGCTGATCCGCGCCGACAGAGAGGCAGCTATCCAGCCGCAGCCCTCTCGCTCCCTCCCGCCGCACTCTCTATTTAACTTTTAATTTATACTCATTCCTTTATATCTTTTATTGCTTCGCCCATCGCGACTCCTAATGCGCCCGAGGTGCTCTTCACACTAATTAAATTCATGCAACACTAAGCTTTCCCAACCCCCCCCCCCCCCCCCTAGTACGCCCCTCCCACTCCCCCTCTCTCCACTCAACGGCCAATCGGAACCCCCAGCGGCGCTCTACAACCAGTGGGCGGGGCCTCCAGTACAGTCAGTCAGAGATTCCTGATAGAACTGTCATGTCGCGTCCAGCGGTCGTTACGCTGTCTTGACATATTTTATTATTATTTATGTCAATTAGGTTATTACTTTTTTGTTTAATGGAATAAGGAATTGGTTGTGAAATTGATTGCCTTTCGGTCGCTTATGATTCATCACTGTCAAAAATATAATCTGAAACGTGTTAATTTTGTATGATTGATAGTCTGTGGTCATTAGAGCGCGGCTGAAGCGTAATCTAGTTTTACGCAACGATCTATTGTTAGACGTAATAATGCATTAATGCCCAGCCTCAGCCTTTGATTGCTCTGACACCTGTCAAATTAAATTGATGAGTGGAAGTGTAATTGTGTCTATTATTCAAATTTCATGTCGGAGAAAGCTCCTTCGCATTATCATGAAATAATATTCTGAGCACGCCTTATCGATAATCACATTTCATTTTTATCTATTAATAAATCATAGTAAATTTTCCTGATCAAGATAAGACAGAATTGCAAAATAGTATAGTCTTACTCCTTAAAATGAGCTTTTCATCATAACATCAAAATATCATCTGAAGAAAGTCTAACGTTTATTATTCATATTCCGAAATAACATTGTCATAACAAGGAAATACGGCGACATGACGCGGGCGTTTGCGGCAGTTCCATAACATAGCGCCTTAGCGATTCTCTGCATTTCTGTTTGTAGCGCGCCATGCGGCTAAAAAAGATTATGACGGCCGCAGCCGTGTAAACGGACGACAACGCCATAAATCCGATGTGCGCCCACCCGCCACGCGATAACAGACGTTATTAAAACCCCCTAAAGCACATTTCGAAACGGCCGCGCCGTCTCCTATGTTTCCGTTAATTCAATGTATGCCCGATCTTAATTTATTGTGGGCTATTCGAAAGCGATCTGTGAGTTTACGGCATAAGGTTTAGAACGGTTTAGCGCGGCGTTTGGTACGGTGGAAGGAATAAATCTATAATATGGAGGAGGCGGAGAATTAATTTGTGAGGGAGTGGGGGTAGGGGGGCCGTCGCTCCGCCCCGCCGGCTCGCCATCAGTGCCGGGCGGGCGAGCGTCGCGACTGTACTACGGAGCGGAGCGATGTGTGCTTGACTCGTAAAGTTTGAGTGCGTGAACAAACTTGAAATTGGAAAATAAACAGAAGACGGTTGTGTTTGGAATATGACAGTTGAGAATGCGAGTCGGGTGTAGTGTTGTGGGTCGGTAGGCAAGATATCGAGCGCGGGCCGAGGCGGCGGCGGCGGCGGCATGGTGCTGGAGGGCGGGCTGCCGGCGCCGCTGCAGCTGTACGCGGCGGCGGCGGCGCAGCTGGCCCCGCGTCCGGCGTGGCCGCCGTTCCTGCCGTTTTTCGGCGTGCCGCCGCCGTTCCTGGCGCGGCCGCGGCTGCCGCACCCGATGCCGGCGCGCGCGCCGCACGGGCCGCCCAGCGAGGACTCTAACGAAGACGGTGGCAGCAGTAAAGGTAGGTCATTAAAATATACAACTGAGAGCAATAAAAACAAACCATAAAAATAAATGAATATCCCTTGACATTTTACACTACGCTTCTAGTCCCAAACTAAGCAAAGCTTGTACTAAAAAACAAAACAAATTGTAAAAAGAATACAAACACGTAAAATTTATTGTCAATATAGAATATATTTCAATTTACAATGGCGAAGTAAAACTACACAGCAATGTTAGTAAACTTACAAAAAATAAATGTTTACAAACATAGAAGGAAGTAACTTTTGCTACGAAGCCTTAAGTTGTGGATATCGCAGATGAAATATGTAAATAGCTTTGTATTTAAATGGCCACATAGATATTTTTCTATTTAAGGATTAACCTGTACCGATTTTCAAGATTCAATAGAATTTATACATCAACTAAGTAATCAAGTTCCAGTTTATTTAAACAGCACAGTCTACTTGAGAATCGCCAAATAAATAAATTAGAATCTGCTATTTTTATGATTTAATTTCCAACAAGAGCAAACAAATAAGGAAAATTGTCAAAGTAGAAATCTGAATGTAGAGACGCTAATAATATTGCGCGTAGTAGGTAGTATAAAAGCTGTAGCGCATCGTAGCGGCAAGTGGCAACCCATTATTTGTATGAAAATTATATTTACAATAACATCAAAGAAATACAACGGAGAATAATAGATACAATAGAAATCTAAAATATGTAGAGTCGCTTAATTGTACGTAGTAGGTCAGCGCCGTAGCGCATCGTAGCAGCAACCGCCGACGGGTGAATTTTAAAGTTCTGTACTTATAAAATTACAAAAAATATTTTTTTATAAGTAATGATATTAATAAAATATGTGATTCTAATTTAATGTTTTCAACAATATTGTTATGTGTGACGATGGTTATGGATGGAAATACTCGTAATATAAAATATCAAATGTACCTATAATAATTACATTAATAGGTAGTGCGAAGAAATTACCTAAATATGTTAAATGTGAACTTTTTGCCTATTAGTTATTTAATTTATTTATTAAATGAATGTAGTTATTTTTATTAAAACCCAAAATATTTTATACTTGTCCTTTATTTTATGCCTGCCTAGGAAATATCACTATGTATATCAAAGTGCTTTATATAGTTGCTTAGAATTATGTAGGCAATAAAAACTTTTGAAACATGTTTATTGGTAAATAAAGATTTATTTGTTTATTACTAAAATTCAAAATATTAGACCTTAATGATAAAACATCCAAACACTGCACAATCCATTTTTAGTATTATATTTTATTAAAATCTCAAATGTAAAGAAGTTTGAAATTGATATTTTATTTTCATAGTTCTGTGATTTAATGAAAAGCAAAATACAGTCGCATTAATTATAATACAAATCATGTCAAGCTCTTAATTTAGTACATCTAGAAAAATATCCTGTAGGCCGTAGGTCTTTCAATTAGTTCACATAGAAAAATATCCTGTAGGTGTATTTCATTGTCATAATATCCCAAACTCTACATTTATAACAAAACACGTTACAAAAAGAATATCTCGGAACATAAAAGTTCCGAATATCACAATGACATTACTAAATCAAATTAGATTTCTTTTAAACCTCCTGACAGTGATCTATAGATCCCGTAATAGAGTTATCATTATTCTCGTGATTAATGTTGAATGCCGCTTAATTGTTTCTTTCACTCTCAAGCGCTATCTTAATCGAAATTCGCTGATATCTTTATACTTCTAATAATTAATGATCGATGACAAGATTTTGTACAATTTCCAAACAAACCTGCGCCTTGTTGCGCCATGTTTATCTGCGCGTGACCGTCAAAATCAGTTATTAATTTATGACACAGCACTGCCCAATCTCTAATGCCTTACAAATCACTAATCAACCAGCAAGGCCAATTACTCATTCACGCGGCGTTTGTAATCCAATAATAAAACGCCTATTTTACAACGACACCTTAATACCGACTCCGTATAACTTCAAAAATAAATAATGCGCTCGCCCCGATCCTTCTAGTCGTAAGTTATAGCTTTAATAATATTAAGGCATTATTCCCGAAATATTCTCGGGTCTCGTTTGAATAAATTTTGTATTAATAAAAAATAAACGTCGGGCAAGGTGCGAAGAGGCTAACGAGTGTAATCCAAATGTAAGTTATTAGTTGCGCGGCCCCCGCTGCGCGCGCGCCGATCTGTGCCCAGATTTTATCGAGGCCTTTGTCGGCTCTAGCGCTGAGGTGTTACTTACGAAATTAGGATGTTAAATGTTTCGAAGATGACGCATAGCGCTTTGTGGCCTATACCATTGTGTATTTTTTATCATATCATTATTATAATAGAAATATCAATAGGCTTTTTTTATGCAAATGCGTGAAATGTACCGTGTTTTTCGATAACAATATTCGATCGAATAAACAAGATCGCTCGCGATTCGGTGTCACTTCGCCCACGCCTCCCCACGCAAGGGCTTAATTGAACCAATAAATGTCACAAGAATTATGAAATAATACGTGATTGTGCATGAGAGCCATTTTAAAATGTCGGTCGTGTTTTGCAGTTTCACATGATTGCCTTTTCGTACCCAGATGAGATAATATAAACAACTTTGCTATGTCTATACCTATTTTATACCTTCTATTATTCTAACTACCTATTTGTAAAGGTGGCTGTACCTCAGATTGTACATTTTATTGTAAAATCGACTCTATAAAAACTGAATAAGATTCTACAGCGTTTAACTTGCCGTAGCCTGTACTTATCCGTCGACAGATGACATATCTTGGCTAAAATTATGACGTACTTAATTTATTTTATAAAAAAAACTAATATTATAATCAAAAAAATTGGTCAATTACATGAAAGACAAAAAGTTAGAACAGGACATTTAATTACTCATTAAATTAATTAATAGTAATACTAAAAAAACTAAGTAATAACATAATAATGTACTAAAACACAAATTTACATCAACAACATAAAAGCTCAATAGAATTTATTTTAGTTTTTATCAATATTGCAAGGAGGACAGATAGTGAGCGTGTTACTTTAACAGCCGTTAATTAAATGTACTGATTAATTCGCGTGTTTACACGGACAGACAGCGAAACTTTATTGTTATATAAATTTGCCGTGGACAGCGCTACAACTGATTTATTAAAACATTATTTGTATGTCATTTTATAGCGCTAATTACTTGTACGTTTGTGATGAAACAATGCCCTTATGTTTATTTGTCGGTTGATTTTATGTTATGTAAGTCTGTTGTTTTGAGTTTATAACATTATACACAAGTAGGTAAGTATAGTAATAAAATGATTGCCAGATTAATAAAAATTTTATTGCGCTTCATTTTTGTTGGTTTAATATCTGTGACGAGAAAAAGGCCTAAAGCTTGAAATTACGTAATATATTTCTATTTATACAAACAGGTAGATGAAGCAAGCCTAATTAATGACAAAGGTGACTGAGTTTCTTCCGCCACTTCTTTTCAGCACCAGCCCATATGTTGTCCCGAAGTAGTGGTAGGGCAAGCTATATTTGGGACGTGTATTAAGTGCCCTGGAAAGGGCCTATGTACTGAATAATCTATTTGAATATGAATCCTGCATAAAAAAGTATGACCCTATCAGAAACTGAACCCTGGACTTGTGCCTCTAACCACCAGAGCACGACTGTGTTACTATTCCGCTCAGCGTTCTAACATACATAATTTGTATAACAACGCTATAATAGGTCTCCATTCTCACCTTATTACTTACTTCAGACCTTATTAAAGATTGGCCTTTATCCCAACTAATATTATAAATGCGAAAGTAACTCTGTCTGTCTGTCTGTCTGTCTGTCTGTCTGTCTGTCTGTCTGTCTGTTACGCTTTCCCGCTTAAACCTCGCAACCGATTTTGATGAAATTTGGCATAGAGATAGTTTGAGTCCCGGGAAAGAACATAGGATAGTTTTTATCCCGGTTTTTGAAACAGGGACGCGCGCGATAAAGTTTTTCTGTGACAGACAAAATTCCACGCGGGCGAAGCCGCGGGCGGAAAGCTAGTAATTTCTATAATTTGCGATCAATGGGTAACTTGCAAGAAAAGACTACTTCAATAATGAGGTCTAAATTTAAACTGAGGTAATTTTATTATTACCTCGCATAATTACACATAACTAGAAACACCGGGGTGACTTTGTTGCTGTAATTTAGGTACTTGGCATAATATTCTAACACCTGCTAACACTAACATAAGGCACTCATCACACCGTGTACGATAAAAATTAAGATAGGTATAGCTATGTAGTTAACTTTTTTTAGTTTTCATACAGAACAGGTTTCTAACAATGAAAGAGATGGGAATAAAAACTTTTTTATTCAATTGAGTTGGCTGAAAATATAAACGTAAAAAAAAGAAAAGCTGAAGAGGTTCTTAGTTATCTCAATTAAAAAAACATAATGAACCAATGGACAAAAAGAAACAAATTCATATTATTTAGTGACCATAATGTTTTATGAAACTCTGAACAATCTTCAAATTATGTAAGCTAAGTCATTTTTACTTAGACTTTTAGCCTTTTAGGTAATTAAAAAGTGATTAGCCGGAAACTGAAGACGGCGAAAATTATTTTAGACTCGGTCTTACTAATTTTAATCAGCTTTCTGTAGTGATGTGAAAAATAAATTTGTACTTACTAATGTAATTTTTGAGTGAATGTAAGTTATGATAAAGTAGAAAATCAGCAACGTGAACTAAAAAATTAAAAATCAAAACTTTTCCAAAATAAGGTTTTTCTCACTATGGTGTTATGTTAATGAATTGAATGAAAAATTGATCTTTATTTAAGTAAAATAATATTAAAATTATACCGCTAAGTTAGTGACTCGCACGCGTGTTTAAATTGTTAATTGAAAGACAGAAAGAAAGAAGGAAAGAAAGAAATAAAGAAAGAAAAAATATTTATTTGGTATCAATTGCTTTGTTAATTTTGTAAATCTTGTAAATTTTAAA